CAGGGAGGTGATTCTGCCTCTGTACTCTACACTGGTGAGGCAACACCTTGAGTACTGTGTGCAGTTCTGGGCCCCTCAGTTCAGGAAGGATATTGAGGTGCTGGAGCAGGTCCAGAGAAGAGCAACGAGGCTGGTGAAGGGACTCGAGCACGAGTGCTATGAGGAGAGGCTGAGGGAGCTGGGGGTGTTTAGCCTGGAGAAGAGGAGGCTCAGGGGTGACCTTATCACCCTCTACAACTCCCTGACAGGAGGTTGTAGTCAGGTGGGGGTTGGTCTCTTCTCCCAGGCAACCAGCAGTAGGACAAGAGGGCACAGACTCAAGCTCTGCTAGGGGAGGTTCAGGTTAGTTATTAGGAAGACATTGGAATGGGCTGCTCAGGGAGGTGGTGGATTCACCATCCCTGGAGGTTTTCAAGATGAGATTGGATGTGGCACTTAGTGCCATGGTCTGCTAACAACGGTAGGGTTGGACTTGATGATCTTTGAGGTCTTTTCCAACCTGGCTGATTCTATGATTCTATGAATAAAGCAGATCATTAATTTCTCTGTAGCAATTTTTTAAAGATTGATTATGTTTTTTAATTGTCTATTCTGGTGGAAAATCAACTATTTATGTGATTAAAAGCCATTTTCATTTCTTAACATTGCATTTCAGACTAGCTAAATTGATATCACAGGTAGAATGGAGCAAGACTGGCATTAATTTCATTATAGATAGTGACTACTATCCCTGGATAAGGAAGCAAGACCCAAGTTCTTCCCCTCCTGAGGAGGATGAAACTTCATTGATTATGAAGAAGTTCTATGTATCACTTGGCCAGGTAAAATAAACATGTTTAGTAGGTGTAACATCAAGATAGATCGAATACAATGGGTAAAATTATTCTAACTGAGGTCACAACCTAATTGAACAACTAATGCCTGAGAAACTTGGTCTAGTGGAAGGTTCCCTGACTATGGCAGGAGGGTTGGAACTAGATGGTCTTTAAGCTCCCTTCCAAACTAAACCATTCTGTGATTTTATGGTTCTGTGAATAGCCCTTTTATTCAAAGTTCTTTGTACTAAAGAAGGTGGATGTGTTGCAATACAGCTTAAACAGAAGCTATGCTACAAATACGATCAGCTACTGTCATACAGCCTTCCACTGGGAACTATCCCCACAGAAATCTGCACAAACAGACTGCACAAAATGATTATGTACAGTATGCCTTCTGCTCTCAGAAACACTGAAATACAGACAGAAATCTGAATTGTTCCATGGCATTTCTTTTCCTAGGCGACAGTTTCTCAGATGAAGGATTGGTTTACCTTAGCAAAACAAGGTGAATCCACGAAAACTACAAATTCATTTATGCATCCTGTACCTTCTAGTCAAATTCAAGATACTTGGTGTTCACCTGGACAGCATGAAAGAGGTGAGTCATTAAGTGCTTCCTTCTGGGCAAGTAACAAGGGCTCAACCCTATGGTTTGTAGCACAACTCTGACTAGGTGCAAAGAAAAGGCTTTCCAAGGAACTGTTGCTAACTCCACTCATTACCTTCTGAGTATCACATGGTATCTGAGGCTTCAGACATAGCCACAACATTAAGTGAAAATTTGAGCTAGTAGCCAAGTAGTTTTGTGATAGTGGTAGGTTCTTTTCTTGTGTATTTCTGCTACATAGAAATCTCTAAGTTTCAGTTGAATTGTTTGCATTTAGTTTGGGGTGGATTTTTTTCCATTTCATGTTTTGAAAGATTTTCTCATCTAGATTCTTTGGTTATTTGATAATGTGTGATTTGTGTTCCAATAATTTTCTTAGGGTATTTATGTTGAGCACTTAAAGGTCTTTTGACTGCCAATTTTTTATGAATCTTATAAAATGCAGTCATTTGGAATCCTG